GGAAGGGAGCAAGAAGGCAGAGAATTATTAATAATTTGACAGAATAAGTCCAACATATGGCTGAGAAACTTTTGATTTTACTGATTTCTTCTTCTTACCTTTCGCCTTAGTGTTATAAAACTGAGGAAAAATGTTAATGAGCCTATAATTGGCCTAAATCCCAGGAGATTATTTTGGGGAATTTGTATTTCAAATGCATGAGTTTTATTATTTTTGCAGGTAATTAGCAGATCAGTTAAACTAAATAATTTCCTGCTGCTATAGGCATATGCAGTCAAATGCAAACTTATTTTACTCCTACATACACCTACTTCAAAATTATTTGTGAAAAGGCTGAAATTTAAAAACACTGTGTATGGAGGAAGAAATTTAGTTATGCTCAGTAATGATTTTTTTAAAACTAATTAGTTTTATAAATCTTCTTGGGTTTTGCTTTTGTTATTTGTCTACGTGTTTTTCTTGGGGAAGATCTCTACACATTTTGTCTTTCATTCCTCCAGTTGATGTTAGCACTACAGAAAAGGTAGAAGTATACCTAGTTCTTACAACACAAAAATAACTTTGCATACTTTTCATAACGTTACCATTACATAATTCTGTCGTTCCCCCCCCCCCCATTTAAATTTAGGATGCTCTAGAAAGAAAAGATATTTTCACAAAATGCTCTCCAGGACTCAGCCTCTTTAAGGATCTGAAAAATATGGGAAGGGCCAGAAATTAATATATCTTAATTTAAATAACTCTGCTTCAGTCACAAGTCATTAAAAAATGGGGATTAATAGTGGCCTTAATAAAAAAGTTTTTCTATCCTAATGGCTTAGTATGGATACAAACTCACTTGAAACAATCCCAGACTCAGACCTTTCTCTCTCCCTATTTCTATAGCATCATGTAGCCCTTGTGAAATATGTCCAGTTTAGAGTCCTATTTCCAAGGTGTGGCTGTACAAGTAATGAAGGGGGAAGCTTTCTGTGAATGAGTTTGTACTTGATACTTTTTTTGTCCTCTGAAATTCCAGTCACAAGCCCTGAATAAAGTTGTACTGCTCAGTTTGGAATGGTCATAGTAGCGTGAAGGAAATGAGAAAACAGTGTGAGAGGGTTTGGTTGCTTCAGGGCTTCTGGGATGGAGGTCAGGGGAAAGTTAATACATCCAGCAAGGTCACAGCCACAGACTGCCAGACATACTGCTGTGGAAGAAAAAGCATGTATGGTAAGTTTCCAGTGATGTGGATTCCCACTGTTCTCCCTTTCTAGCAGCTACTGCAAAGTGGCATTTCTAGACTACAAAAGCTGGTATGGGGTAGAAGGATACACTGTTTCTGCAGGCACACAATGATCACACACAATTTCCGTGTGAAAAAGCAGATCCATCTAAACAAACAACTTACACAGATCTTCTAATGCCAGTGTTAGGGAAATCAACAATAAAGGAATGGGTAGCCAGCATGGGGTGCAGTCACAAGCCCTTATTTCTACTAAGCCATAACTAGTTAATTTGCTACAGGCAAGACAACTATTGGGATAGTGCCATTGGACACTTATGTTGCCATATTGTCTGAGACATGTCTGCTAAGCCATGAGTTTTTAAAATTTGAGATGTACTTGAAGGAGAAAGCAGCTTCTGTTTCTGTTCTCTGTTTTTGAAGCTTGGATGGTGTACATGCAGTCTGCACTCCTAAGCAAAGAGGAAACTCTACTCTCCAGGCACAGCATTCTCTGCTTCAACAGGCTCTGGTCAACCACTAGAGAAGGTTCGCAGCAATCAGAGAAGAAATGATTAAACTCTCCAACTGTATCTTTGAATGCCTTTGAGTTATTTCAATTTATTTTTTATTGTATGAAATGTTTTAGTAGTTTGTCCTAATGTATCATTAATGCACAGATTGAGTGTGCTGTTTTATCTTAGTATTTCTTTAGTAAGGTCTCTTAATAGGCCACTGTTTCTTACCAGAATTGGACAGTAAACAGCTTCTAGCAGCTCAGTTATTAAGTTGGACACATTTACAAATAAAGCATAGATAACAAATAGAAAAATTCCTAACAAATTAAAAGAAAATATAGAACAAATAAAACTGAATTTTAAAAAAAAAGTTCAAATTAGAAAATGTGTTATAGATTTACACCTCAAAAGCCAAAGGAAAAAAATACATCTGCTAAACAATTAACTACATATAAGGGAATCGAAAGAAAGCAGCTGTTGGAAAGAGCAATTTTTCCACTTCCTACCACTGCCAAAATGAATTAATGTGTAGACCTAGGGATATGAACGAGGTATATTTTGAACAGGATTTTAAGGCCATCTCTTAAGACACAGGGCAGTAATGCCTACTGAGTCTTTTCCCGTCTCTTTCTTTCCTTCCCTATCTCCTTTCTGTGGGTATTTTTGCTCTGACATAAAAAGTCAGTATAGGAAGGTATTCCTTGTTTACTTCAGTAAATGTGGAGTAAGATAATAGTGTAGGGAATCCCACTTTTTCTAAGTCTACTGTTGCTCATATTCATACTGTTGCTTATGTACTTCTGTGAATTTCTTCATGTCAGCCAGCAAATACATGATGCTGAAAACGTCAATGGTGTGCTGCTAGTTATGGAAGCTAGCATGCTTTAGCCATGTGAATCTGATGAGCTGCCTAGTCAAAGGTTTATTTGAAGGTTCTGAGCACCTCACTAAGCTGCATCTTTAGACTGCAGATGAAACCCCAGTTTATTTTGCTGTAAAAGAGTATGCATATGATTTTATTTTCACAGGATTTGGTACTTAACAGAGTTTCAGTCTGAACTTGTATTTCTGCCAAGTCCACAGCATTTTTACTTGGTATCTTAACCACTGAACTCCTAAACCTTCTGTGCAGTCCTACAGAAGCGCTTCCTATGACCACATCCCCTAATAAAAGGCAAGAGGTCAAATCTTTTTGTACATCAGTCACGAGAACTCTATGAGTTGGGGCACTATTTTCTTGATGTTCTCCTCAATATCTGTGGGTAGAAAACACCATATAACATCTTTGTGACATTTCTCATACTTGTCTTTTGAGAATATTAGAAACCAGGGACTGATTCCTAAATGACTTTTTCCCTCTCCTGCTTAAAATATATATATTTTAAAAAGTCATAGATAAGTATGTCAGCTTTGCAGAACTGAAGCAAAGGCTGCAGGCATGGGAAGCAATTGAGCAAAGACAAGTTAGGTACAAATAAATAATGAAACTTTACAGTTAACTTGATGTGCTAGTTCATCTCTAGAGTATGCCCAATTTACTCAGATATTCCAAGCCTGGGGCATATGGCCCACTGGCAACCTCGCAGTTGTAGTTTGAAGAGGGTTGAGCACCTGGAGATTATGTGGTGTCAGGAGAGAAATCATTTTGAATGTCTTTCCTGCTTCAATGAATTTTATAAATTAAAAATGTGTGCCTTGGGCTTACACTTCTCAGACTGTAAAAAATAAACTTTCCAAGTTTGTCAATTTTAAGTTATTACTTTGCATTTCTTTGGATGCATGTCTTTATTCTATCCCTTGACTTCATCAAACATACTTGGAATAGCCATATTTTACCTAGTGATTATAATTATGCCAGAATACCAGTTGGGCTTAAGGTGTAAAGTAGCAATACAAAAATAAAAGACAAGGGAAATGGAGTAGCTTTAAGGAATGTTAGTCTTTCTAGTATGCAAACAAACTTAACAAACAATTGCCTGTTGTAAAATGTATGAATTACTAACAGAAAAACTGCTGAAGTTGATCCCCAATGGTAGAATGTTTTCTAAAATAGTTTTGGTTATGTTATGCAGTTCCATTATGGTTTTTAAAATAGCATGAGCCAAGTGCAGTTGTTTTGAAGGAGGCAAGAGGAAAGGAAGGCATTGCTTTTGGGACCTTAACTGAGCAAGCTCTTAGAAAAAAAAAATCTTGAAAGTTAATGTAAAGATCAAAAACTTTCAATGTCAAGACATTAAAGAGCATCTTGATCAGCACTATTGTATTCTTCCCGATGCACAAGGTAGACACAAAGTCTTATGCAATTCCTAGCATTCCCTCTGCAGTAAGGGATCTTTTCACTCCCCTGTGACATTTAAAAAGAGTTTTTAGCCTCACTAGCTAAAATAGCGAGCAACGGAGAGGGGTTTAGGGGGTGAGTGGGTTGGTTGGTTGGTTGGTGATATTTTTTTTCTTGTGACATACAAATGTTTTTCTTTCAATCTTGTGACATGTGTAGGAACAAGAGACTAAGTGTGTTATAAACATTGCACAAAACACTTTATAGAAAAAGCAGATGCTGCAAAGATGAAGCATATATCACGTTTTTGTTAGCAGCACTTAAATTTTACATTAAGTATGAACTACAAAACTGTGCTAATGTTACTGATTCTGTTGGAGTACAGCAGCCTTGTGGCTCGGGAATAAAAGAACTAAGTAGCTTATAAAAATTAATTTTCCATGAGAAAGACAACAAGCAATATATGACTGGTTATCTGGTAGCTCTCATAGGTTACTGGAGCTCAGCAGAGCCCAGTGAGTGGCAAGGACTACTGGATCGCAGCATTCATTCACTCACAAAAAAGATGCAAACAAAATAGAAAAGGCCTGACTTCTCTTCAGTTGGAGGTAAACAGAAATTTGTAGGGAAATCTTCTATGCTTTTAATTCTAGTTCTAATCTTTGAAGAAATTTTTCAAATTAATGGATAATGCTTAATAGTCAATTTCAAGATATATTTTTCAGCTTGTCTGATTTAGATTGGACATGCACATGTTCAAGCTGTGACGATACTAAAACATAGGTGCTTGATTTATAGCATAAAGTGCTGGACTGTCAGTCAGATGTCTCCAGGCCAGCTGTCTCTGCTCAGCAGCTTCACGGATTATGCACAGATTATGTCCCTTTACAGAGTTGGAAGGGACTCAAGTCCAATTCTTAAGTGGATGGCCTGTATGAGGATCAAACCCACGGCCCTGGCATTATTGGCACCATGCTCTAAACGACTGAAATAATCTCATGTGCTCACTTTGGCTGCACATATACTAAAATTGGAACAATACAGAGAAGATTAGTATCTCTCCCGTGGTAGGATGACATGCAAATTAACTCAGTCTACTATCTAATGATGCAGTGTACACAGTCATGCAAAAACTTAGAAAGGGGTCACATGATTCACATCAAGAATTAAATGTTATGGTCTGTCATGATGGAAAGAGCCAAGTGACTACATTCACTGCTAGCTGCTAAATGTATGTGTTGTAAAGGAGAGAGAACAACTAAGAACTTGAAAGTGTAATTCATTAGAAGTGAATTGCAATGAATTCTGCTAAATAATATTTATGTTCAAAAAATCTTCACTTGAAAAAAAAATCTTATTGTTGAGAAAAAGAAGTTAGGGGTTTTTTCTGTATTATATATAGTTCATAATCACACACTGTATCTAAGCACTTCATCTCTTCAGTATTTCAGGTCTGAAATGACAATAAAGATATTTTTATCTATGTTCTACAATATAATGTAAGTTAAATCTAAAATATTTTACTATTCTGTATATAATGTATGTATTATATATATAATATATATATTCTTTCTATTATAATTTGACAATGTTACAATTGCACTTGACAAAGTCAACACCCTGAAAATTGGCACTGAAAATGAAAGGATTTTACTAGTATTTGGTGATTTCAAGTCCATATACATAACAGATTCTTGTTGCCTATTCCTACAATACTTAGTCATGACCTGCTATACAATCCACCAATTAAGTTGAAATTATCTTGAGTTTTTATATTTTATTTTATATATAATATAATGATTTGGTTAATTACTGTTGCTTTTTGCAGAAGCAACTTTATGTATATCTTTGATTGAAATAAGTATGAGAAATGGATAGTTTTAAAAGAACATTTTAACATTATTATTCAATGTACATTAAATTTGAGCTGTTTATAATCAATATTAAATTCCACATGTAACTGGAAATGTGACTTTAGGAGACTAGGTTGGTGAGCAAAAGGAGTAAAGGGCTATCTGTGGTTATATAAAAATTTTAAAATGTAAGCTTCTAGTGAAAAAACTGGAATTGAACTGGGTCTTTCAACAACATCTCACAATTTAGTAAATACCACATTGGAAGTAACTTAATTTTTCTTGTCAAATATCTCACAACACTAATTAGATAATTATATCCCTAAGAAGATGCATTACATCCTAGCTTGCAAAATTTTTCTACTTATGTAGCTCATTTACATTTATTAAGTATTAAGATACAAAAATTGTTATTATTATTGACAAACTTTTGAGGTTAAAAAGTGACTGCTTACTATCTCAAGTAATCTTTTAGCTTTTTAGCATTACTTATTGAAAACTACCTGTATTCTTCAGCCTGTCTAAAAATTCAGGGGCACATTATGGGTTAACCTTGACTCAGAACCTGCTGTAAACTTATTGCATGTAGCATTTAGATACAAGCTCTTTACCTTTACATGTATTCCAGATTTCACTACCTTTTCATAGTTTTCTTAATAATGTGACAATATTAAAACTATTCTGGAAAACAGTATAAAAGCTAAGTTTTTCTTTGTAATTTTACTTTGTAATGGAAAACATTTAATCGTCCTTATTTTTCAGGACCAGATATGCCTTTGCCTGATTTATAAATGTTTAACAATTTGTCACTTGGATATATATTCATTTTATCAACACTTTTATTATGAATAATATATATTCTTTATTATACGTTAGCTCTTATGAAATAGCTAAACTATCTGCTTGAATTTTTCTGCAACCTAAAATGTTATTTATTTATCCTGTGGACCACTTTACTTCTAGAAGGAATGGTATTTATAATAAAATAAAATATTTTTTTTAAATCCTTCCTTTATAGGACAGGTAGCTATAGAGTAGGCAGTCTGTTACATAATCAGAATAATTAAATTATAGTTGCCATCTATAAATCATTATATGGAATTGCATATGTTCTGTCTTTGACAGAATAAAAATATTTATGTAAATTTATGAAACCTGTCTTGTGAAGGGAGTAAAATTAAGATTCTAAGGAATAGACAACCAAAGCTGACACACAGAGTTGCTATAACCTTTGAAACTATGCCTTTAAAGTATCCCAGTGATGACAGCTTTAAAAAAAAATGTGAAAAATATTGTATCTCTCTAATTTATTAGATACAAGCATTACACTTAAGTAGCCAGACTGGTTTACAAGAGTCATATGACATAAAAGAAAAAGACATTAATTGCAAAATCAAATGGTGATCTCCTTCAACTGGAAATTAGCATCTACCATAATTGCACATCAATGAATAATGTAGAAATTCTTTGGTTTTTGTTCAAGTAGTCCCATAGAATGTTTAGGCATTATTATAAGTGAGTAGATATATTTTATTATACTTATTACAATGGTGATTCCAGTGAAAGGAAAGACATAATCAGTAATAGCACATCTGTTTCTCCAAAAGGCTTCTATTTTTATTCTTTTCAATAATACGAGAAGCAAAGGTCTGTTTTGTGGGTTTTTTGTTTCTTTCTTTTAACAGCCTAGCTAGGCATGGGAAGGGTATGTATGTGTGTATCCTTGTATACATATAATTGCAGGTATCAGTGCAACTCATTTTAGTCTCAGTCCTTTGACAAAGACAGAAAGCAGACACATAGCAACGCCCCTCCAGAGATACTCCGAGAATGTCTATGTTTATGCCAACCCTTCAAGAATTATTTTATTTCAATAATTTACTCAACATATGTTATGTTTAAAAGGTGGACAAGCATTAAAATAAGTACATTAAATATGCATTGAAGTATCAAAGTATTTTGATCATAATTCACTCCTTATGCTTTGCTGACTCAGTATTTTCTAAGTAGGTTAAAAGTAGACAGAATATGCAGAATGAAAGACCACTTGCTTCTCATACCTTCATTAAATAGAATGATGTTCCAGCAATGCCTCGTGAAATAAAACCTTTGCTCATGCACTAAGAGAAACAGCCATACAAGTCTAATTATTTGTACCTTATGGAGATCTCTCAATGGCACTCTCATCACAGGGAACCTAAAGCTGTGTGAGAGTATTAGAGTAAAACCATGTATTTCTCAGTAAGTAGTTTTCTTCAATAATACCATGTTTATCATAAATCTACATTATTAAAATAATTCAGTTTATTCTCCACTATGAAATAGAAGGGCCTTTTTTTACTTAAATAAATGTGTTGCTTTATAGCACAGAAATATTTTTCTAAAGATGTTTTCTAATTTCCAGTTTCTGTAGGTTTTATGAATTAAGCCCCAACCGCCTGTAATGCAGATGAGAACAAAGAAAAAACATGTAATTCACACCACTAGTACTTGCTCTTTTCTGTAGATTCAGAAATGTCATCCATTACAAAGACTTGTATTCTACACAGTTCTGATGTCAAACATCAAGAAATACACATACTTTTTCTATAGCTTAGGAATTCTATAAAATCCTAGGAGTTTTCTGCACTTTATTTTTCAATATAGGTAAATCTATGTTATAATTATCAAAATTAAAAAGCTGTAAACCTTTTGCTTATTAATACTCCAGGTTTGAGACGAAAAGAACAAAGTCTTCACTTTATCCGTTAATATGAATGAGAGAATACGTAGTGGGAAGATGTTTGCTAAGGCTAGATTTGTCCCATTTTTCAATTTTATTAAATAAAAGGTACATAAATTCATATATTTAATAAACATAAGTCAAAGGTTTTATATATTAATAAAACTGTCTTCTAAATCTCATCCTATAGACAGGTCAAAATCATCTGACTCTGTAAGACTGACTGAGAAAATCCAGACTAAGGTTTCTTCCACCAGGACTACCTTGCTACTGTCCCATTATTCCCACTGCAGATCTGTTTTTCATAGAAATGTCCTGTACATATAAATTTCATCTAAAAGTACTGTGCAACTCATTACTGCATGTACAGTCTAAGCAAATCCTCAAATGCTGAAATTATTGTACAGGTGTGCTGGTTTGGGCAGGGGTAGAATTAATTTTCTTCACAGTGGCTGGTATGGGGCTGTGATTTGAGTTTGAACACAGTGATGATAAAAGAGATGTTTTTGTTATTGCTGAGCAGCGCTTACATAGAGCCAAGGCTTTTTCAGCTTTTTGTACTCCTAACTGACAAGGAAGTTGGGGATGGATGGGAGACTGGGAGGAAACATAGATGGGACAGGTGACACAAACTGACCAAATAGATATTCCATACAATATGACATCATGCTCAGTATATAAATTGAGCGGGAGAAGTATTAAGTATGTCCTATTACTGTAAGACTTTTGTCTCCTGTTATAACATGCTGCTCCACACCTCCAATCTATGCAAAATGTAGGTAAGTGTATTGGCAGCATAATCTAAACTCTTGCTTGAAGTGAGCATATGCCATAGTGACAGCAGTCATCAGACTCCAGTGAAAATTCCCGTGGTGGAAAATACAAAACTGTGACTTACAATTACTACAATTTCATGGGAGGAGTCACTGCACTTATGCAAGCTATGAATAGGTCTTACTTTTATTGTCCAATCCATAAGAATTGGGATGGATTAAAGAAAATTGATGCAGTGACACATTCATCCCAGTGAAGAACATTGCCTGCTGTTCTATGTGAAGACTGTGTGTGTCTTGACAGGTATCATTTAGCAGCATCTAATTCATGTGCTTGAAGTATGCAGTATGCAGAAGTATACAATATATCCATGCATACATGACATTTTAATTTATCCCATATTCTATTCTCATAAATGTGACTCTTTTTATGAAATCTATTATTTGTTCAGTATCTCTTGTGGAATCATTCTGACTGGATTTCCCATTTATTTCAGTTTTGTTGTAATTTCAAACAAAAAAAGTCCTCCAATGCAAAACAATCAAAGTGCTGTGTTTTTTCATCTAATCTTTATTTGTGTGGTGAAAAGTTTCTGTTAAAACAGTACTGATGTAAGCTGTATGCACTAACGCTCTTCACAAGTCTGATATGCAGAGTATAATTAGAATGCAATTAATGGTTGTTACTAGAAGATGAAAATACTTAGTTCACTATTATTGTTGAATCTGATATCAAAAGTGGTAATGGCACACAACTAA